TTCTGTAGTATCATCTTTGGCTTTCTTTTTCCTTTTTTTGTGTCCATTATAGGTTTTGGGTTTGTGGTACTATGAGGTTCATATATAACATCCTAAGTATATAGAACTCTTTTTAGTTGATGGTCATTTAAGTTCAAACACGTTCTTTAAAAAAAACCTTATTTCACCCTTTCCTTCATGTTTTACGTATATGCTGTCATATTTTATATCTTTGTTCACCATTTTCGAACATCTAATTATGGCCATTTCTTTTCCACTTAAGTTCCTTTAACATTTCTTGTAAGGTTAGTTTAGTGGTAATAAAATCATTTTGGGGGGAACTCCAGTTCTGAATGATACCCTTGCTAGGTAGAGTATTCTTGGTTGTAGGTTTTTTCCATCAGTACTTTGAATATATCATGCCATTTTCTTTTGGCCTGCAAAGTTTCTGCTGAAAACTCAACTGATAGCCTTGTAGGGTTTTTCTTTGTTTTTTTTCCCCAGATAAAATTTTATTCAGAAGGCTAATTTTGAGTGCTGTGAATTATGTAAGACTGTTGAATAACAGACCTGTACCTCTGAAACAAATAATACATTATATGTAGGGTTTTTCTTGTAGGTAACTTTTTGCTTCTCTTTTGCTGCCTTTAAAAGTCTCTCTTTATATATTTATTTTTAAAGTAGGCTCTGTGCCCAATGTGGGGCTTGAACTCATGACCCTGAGATCAAGAGTAGTATGCTGTACTGACTGAGCCAGCCAGGTGCCCCCAAAGTCTCTCTTTATCTTTAACCTTTGACATTTTATGTGTCTTGGTTTGGATCTCCTTGGGTTCATCTTGCTTAGAACTCTGTGCTTCTTGAACCTATATATCTATTTCCTTCCCTATGTTAGGGAATTTTTCAGCTATTACTTCTTCAAATAAGTTTTTTCCCTTTCTCTCTTGCTGTTTCTTCTAGGTCCCCTATAATGAGAATGTTTTTTCACTTGATGCTGTCTAAGAGATCCCTTAATCAACCTTCATTTGTTAATTATTATTTTTTTGTTTCGTCATTCAGCTTGTGTGCTTTTCACTAGCCTGTCTTCCAGATCGCTGATATATTCTGCATCCTCTAATCTGTTGATTCTCTCTGATGCATTTATTTCAGTTACTGTATTCTTCAATGCTGATTGGTTCTTTTTTTTTTTTTATCTCTTTATTGGAGGTCTCACTGAGTTCATTCACTCTTCTCTCCAGCCCAGTGAGCATCTTTATGATCATTACTTTAAATTCTTTATCAGGCATATTGTTTATCTCCATTTCATTTAGCTCCTTTTTCTGAGGTTTTGTATTGTTCTTTCTTTCGGAGCATATTTCTCTGTCTCCCCATTTTGCCTGACTTCCTGTGTCTGTTTCTATGAATTAAGCAGAATAACTACTTCTAAATTTGAAGGAAAGGTCTTGTGTATGGTCATCCCCTATGTAGACCTTGTGTGTTTGGTGATTTTCACTGGCTGGAGATGTGGTTGGCATGGGCTGGGTGTCCCAGGACTCCACACAGTGGGCACCCTGGCAGGATAGCTGAAGTGGGTACAGGTCAGTGTGGTCCCTGGGCTCTCCCTGCAGCAGGTGCCCTGGCAGGATAGCTAAAGCTAGAGTGGGTGCATGCCGGGTGTCCCAAGGCTCTACATCCAGAGGGAACCTTGACAGTATAGCAGAAGCTGACATGGGTATTATTCGGAGTATCCTGGAGCTCTCCACACAGAGGGCACCCAAGCAGGACAGGTGAAGCTGAAGTGGGTGTATCCCAGGAGATCCCAGGGCTCTCCATGCAGTGGGCACTGTGTCCCAACAGCTAAAGCTAAAGCTGTTGCAGGTCAGAGTGTTTCAGGTTCTATATGCTGAGGACACTGGCAGGATGGCTGAAGTGAAGGTAAGCTGGGATTTCTGGGGGCATTGTTTTCAGGGGGTGATCTGGTGGGGTGGCTGGAGCTGAAGCAGTGTGTGGACCAGGAGACCCTTGAGTTCTTTGTACAGGGGGTGCCCTGGTAGGATAGCTGAAGTGGGTGCAAACAGGTATGTTCTAGGACTCTCTGTAGAGAGAATGCCTTAGAGGGGTGTCGGCTGGAGCTGAGGCAGGGTACATGCCTGGCCAAGGAGGGGTCCTGGGGTACTCTGCACAGGGGTTGCCATATATCACATTTTGTCTCTCCATTCATCTGTTGGTGGGCATTTAGGTTGTTCTTATCTTTTGGCTACTGTGAATAATGCTATTATGAACATTGATGTACAAGTATCTGTCTGAGTCCTTGCTTTAAATTCTTTTTGGTATATACCTGGGAGAATTGCTGGGTCATATGGTAATCCTATGTTTAGTTTTTACGGAACCACAGAAACTGTTTTCGACAGTGGCTGTACCATTTTACATTCCCACCAGCAATGTGCGAGGGATCCAGTTTCTCCATATCCTTGCTGACATTTGTTATTGTCCATTTTTTAAAAGAATATAGCTATCCTATCAGGTGTGAAGGGGTACAGATTTACATTTTCAAAGAATCACTTGGGAAACAGCATGGAGGATGGGCTGGAGGCGGAAAACCCAAGAGGCAGAGAAAATAGCTGAGAAGTTCTTGCTAGGGGTTGTTTTCTGACCATTGGTCTAAGAAGGTGGTCCTGGACAGCAGTGCATGGGAAGGGAAGGACATGTTATGACACACTTAAAAGAGAATTCGTGATTGTTGGTTAAAGAGAGCAGGCATACAAGAAGTGTTCAAATTTTCTGACTTGGTTACCTATGTGGAGGATGATATTATATGCTGAGATCAAGGGATAGATGGTGAATTCAGTTTTTGATGCAGTAACAACATGGTAATTCTGGGATCTTCAACTGGGCAGTTGGATATGAGAGTCTGGAACTTAGGGGTGATGCCTGGTCTGGAGATAGACATTCACACATCATTAATGTTCAGAAAGCCATTGCAGTGATTGGCATGAATTCAGTCACTGGGGGAAGTGTACGGAGTGGGAAGACTTGGGGGCTGAGGATATACTCTGGGGGCACTTGGGCCTAAACCCTGTAAAGGGAGGAGGGAAATCCTACCCCAAATGTGAGAAGACATGGTTCTGAAGCAGGAGTAGTATCTCAGAAACCAAAAGAAGATTTTAAAAAGAGGAAGGCATGAAAAGGAGCAAATCTGGAGAATGTTTTGATAGTATTTGCAATTACCTAGGTTTGTGCTGCAAACAAGAAATGAATTGTTTGGCTAATACATGATTGTGCCTTTTTTCTGTTCTACCAGGGACCATTAAACAATAGTATTTTTGGATTTCATAAGTACAGTAGGTTTGAATTTCACCATTTCTTTTGAGTTTTTTTTTTCTTGTAGTTCAGTTGACAGTGTTATGTTAGATTTGTGTGTATGACATAGTGATTTAACAATTCCACACAGGACTCAGTGCTCACTATGATAAATGTACTTACCATCTGTCACCATACGATGTTATAATATTATTGACTATATTCCCTATGCTGTACTTTTCATCCCTGTGACTTATTTATAACTGGAATTTTGTACCTCCTAATTCCCATCACCTATTTTGCCCATCCCCTCATCTACCTCCCCTCTGGCAACCACCAGTTTGGTCTCTGTATTTAAGAGTCTATTTTTGTTTGTTTGTTTTGATACATTTGGAAATATATTTTTAAAAATATGTATTTTTAAAAACTACTCAGCCTGCATAATTTTTAATGTGGAATGTATTCTGTCACCATCAGTATATTTCATTCTAGTAGTGGTCTGGTGGTAACTACATTTCTTAAATACACATACACACACACGTGTGTGTATATGTGCATATATAGACACACACATTTAATATTATTCATATGAAAATTATATTTCTCAGGATTCGCATGAGATAATTTTTGTTCATTGTCAGTTCACAGTTTTTGTTGCCCTGTTGGGGATGATGTGCCTGTCAGCCTTAGGAGGAGAACTGCGACTTGTGTTGACAATAATAATCACTTCCGGTCATTAGGAGCTCAGGGTAGCATTTCTAACGAATGACTTAATAGAAATTAAGAGGATGGTACTTAATCTCACATTTATTTTCTTTCAAGAATTACGTAAAAGCTGTTTCCTGTAGTTTGACATTTTATTCTGCTTTTTTGTAGAATGGAAGATGGTGAACAACAAGGAAAAGTGAAGTCCTTCAGGTACATTGAACCACTGAGATTGATAGATGGTGGGTGGAAAAGGTTGCACCAAAGTAAAAGGTGACGTCAAGATAGAATTGATTCAAGAATATTAGGTTTTTCTCATTTGGTACCTGTTACGTTTTCTATCAACTTGAATAACATTTTGTCTTAATGTGCCTTTAAATTTTTTCTTAGAGGGACTGTTTATTAAAGTATTTCCTTTAAGCACTAGAGCAAAGCTGATTCATGCCATAAACAAATAAAAATTACTTCTGAGGAGCATCTGATTGTTAGGAATTCATCCTCATAAATTCTTTGGCAATTGTTTCAACATATTCTCAACGTCAACAAAAATTTTTCTACAACTGGCAACATGGCCAGATCTCAGTTTTGCTTTTCCTTCATTTATTCTGGTTTTTGATATGATTTACAAAACACTGACAGGGGTCAAAGTGGCAGTAACAGTACACAGATTTAAGAGCCAGCCCCTGCTGCTAAATTATCAAGCAGAGAACCAGCCTCTGGTAAATAAGGCTTTCTCGAATACAGTCCTCCGGTATTCTTTTCAGGTGCATCTCCTTCAAGTAAGGTGCCTTATTCGAAAACTAGCTATTTTGCCTTCCTCTGGGTTTCCTAGCTCCTACCATCATCATTCATTGTTCTCCACAGGGCCTTGCTCCCACCCGTTCTCACCCGTCTCTAACACCCTGCCTCTGAGACAGAACACCCCATCTGCTATGCATTCCTGGAAACAGGCATCTCTGCCCATTGCTCGTGTCTGTTGCTAGTGGGTAATACTGGTAGAAATGAGAGGTGATAACTCTAGCAAGAGGATAACTATAACATTCTTCTAATCATAAAATTTTAATCTAAAAATTACTCTTGAATGGACCAAAGCATAAGTATATAACTGAATTTTATGTGAATGTACATATAATTTGAATTCCATCCAGTTCACTCAAAAGTACATATTTTGTTCCAGGAGTGACGTGACCCAAGGGTGAATGGTTGTGGGGAGGCGGGCGACGGGGAATATTATCTCCATTGGTTTTCATTAGTGTTCTCCCCTCCCCCACTCTTTTATGTGGAAAAATTACATTTTCTTTCATCTGATTTAAAGTTGCCATAAAGACAGGTCAGAGCAAGTGTCCTTCTTTCCCATCAGACTGTCCTTTTTAAACTCTTCTTATGTGGAAATTCTGGAGGTGCCATGATCTGAGTGTTGTAGGAGAAGCAGACAGATGTTTACAGTTAAGTGTGAAGAGTAGAAGAGCCTAACTCAAATGTAAGGTACAAAGAAAAGATAGACATTTTCCCCCTACATTTTACCATCTATGAAAAAGGTCTTATCAATGCCCTCTTCCTGTTAATTGGCAATGTTTTTCTTTCCTTGTGACGTTTTAAATAATACTGAATTTTCAACAGATGGTGACTTAGGTCTGGTGACATGGTCACGGTGTAAAAGATACTGAGACAGCTGAGAGGGGAAGGGGCTTCCTCAGGTAGTAGTCACAGATGGTCTCCAGGAAGAATAACTGAGCTGGGTTTTGAAGAAGGAAGAGGGTTTTTCCAATATAGAAGGGGAGGACATTCGAAGCTTAGCAAAGAGCAAGTCAGAGGAGATGTGAGGTGACTTGGCAAGTGTGAGGGCCAGCAAGTCGTTTGGCATTGCTGCGGAGTAACGTGTGGAGCTGTAGGGAATGCGCGGAGAGAGGAAACTGGAAATGAGGGCACAAACCAGGTCACGGAGAACCTTGGGGTGTCACGTGGGAGTTTGGCCCTTCCTCTTAGGCAGTGAAAATACATGTTAGCAGTTTGATGCAATGGAATTAGACGACTTCGTTTTTTTTAGAGTGATAATTCTGGAAGTCGGGGTTTGTATAGACTGGAGGAGGAGGATGCGGGAAGTACAGCAAGTTAAAAGGCTTTTGGGGGTAGTGCGATGAGCTGTCACTAGGGAATCAAGGTGGGGACGGAGTGGATGGGGAGGAAGACAAGACCTATATAAGAACCACTGAAGAGCTAGAACCTATAGGAGTTTGTGATTATTCAGCTCTTCAGGGTGAAGGAGGAAGGGTCTAGAATGAGCCTAGTGATATCAGCAAGATAAACTCTACAGGAGTAAATCAGGGGTAATGGAGGAAGGAGGAATAAGATGAGGTGAATTGCAAGGAACGTCTTCAGTGTGGGCTTACTTGAGGTTTAAAGTACTTGTGAATCATTTAGGTGTGTAGTTCAAGTTCTGAAGGTCAGGAATGGGGTGAAGTATGAACGAGATAGAGATTTAATAGTAAGTAGCTTATGAGCAGCTGTAAAGCCTTTGAGAGACAGTGCTATCTCAGGGTGAAGCTATAGGGTGAGGAAAGAGTAGAGCCAAGTGGGGAATCTTGGGGACACTGCTATTTAAGGAAAGAGGAAGAGCTCATAAAGAGACTAAGGGGACTGAGCAGAGCAGGGAGGACAGAGGAACAGGAGATGGTCACAGGAGCCGTCGGAAGAATGAGGAATGTCAGTACCATCAAAATTCAAGGCAGGGATCGGCAAGGAGTTGCATAAAATAAGGATGACCTCTGCTAAAAAGAGTGTCAGTGGGGCAGGGTTTGTGGCAGGTTGGTTTTAATAGATGGAAAGGTGCCTGCTTGAGAAGTGAGAAGAGTGGTGATGGTGATCTTCCAGGAAGCTGGCTGAGAACGGAAGACAGTAGCAAGGTAAAAACCCCTAGGAGTGGGGAAAGGCGGGGGTTTTTTCCCCAGAGGGCGAGATTTGCCCACAGGTGCAGCCCCGTGGGAAGCTGCTGTGGAAGAGAATGAAGTTAAGATGCTGAGGTGAATACCGGAGAACAGTGATCTGTAATAAGAGGAAGAGTTGGGTAGCCTTCTAAGACTGAGGGAGGTTCTAAAGCTACCCATGTGGCTCTCAGACACATCTTAGTTCTTGAAGGTTTCTGGAAATAAGTTAGGGAGGAAGGAGCAGGGGTAGTTGGTGGGATGAGAGATGAGCCCCATTCCTGCGCTCAGCAGCTCCCTCCTCTTCCCTGAACCACGAGTGCAGGGCCAGAGTTGGGAGGGACGTGGGTGCGTGCTTTTGCCGGCCTCCTCAGGCTCCAGCCAGTGCCTCCCGGGTAACTCTGAGTCTGCTCGATGTTAAAAATAAAGGAGGTTCGTTTCCTTCTTAGAGAAGCTCATAGCCAAACCGAAAAGCGGAGGAGAGATAAAATGAATAACCTGATTGAAGAACTATCTGCAATGATCCCTCAGTGCAATCCCATGGCACGTAAACTGGATAAACTTACAGTGTTAAGAATGGCTGTCCAACACTTGAAATCTTTAAAAGGTGAGTTTGGAAATGGCTTCTGCATTTGTTTTGTTTTGTTTTTAAAGATTTTATTTATTTGAGAGAGGCCGAGATAGCGACATAGTGACAGAGAACATGAGCAGGGAGGAGAGGGAGAAGCAGGCTCCCCACTGAGCAGGGAGCTTGATCCCAGGACCGTGGGATCATGACCTGAGCCGAAGGCAGACGCTTAACCGACTTAGCCACCCAGGCACACCGCACTTGGATTTGTGAAGTCCTCCCTGTAATTGAGATCCTGGATTCATTTGTTTTGCTGTTGTTGGCTACTGAAATTCTATACAGATGTGTCTTTCAGCTTTATAGGCATCAGTTTGTTTATAGGCATCAATTTTGATGCTTGCTCATATTCTGTATGTGGAGAGAATACTAATCGGGGTATGGAAAATCTTGGTTTCACTAAAAGCTTTATCTTAAGTGCACACAGTATGTCTACATTTGTGTCACCTTCAATGTCTTTCATCAATGTCTTAGAGTTTTCAGAGTACAGTCCTTCCACTGCCTTGGTAAAATTTATTCCTAGGTGTTTTATTCTTTTTGATACCGTGGTAAATATGATTGTTCTCTTAATTTCTCTTTCTGCCGGTTTGTTAATAGTGTATAGAAATGCAATGGATTTCTGTATGTTGATTTTGTATTCTGCAACTTTACTGAATTCACTTATTAGTTCTAATAGTTTTTTGGTGGAGTCTTTAGAATTTTCTATATGGAGTATCTTGTCATCTGCCATGTATCTTGTCGTCTGTCATGAGTATCACTCATCTTATAGTGAGCGTTCTCCTTCCTTACCAATTTGGACACCTCTTATTTCTTTTTCTTATCTGATTGCCGTGGCTGGGACTTCCAGTACTATATTGAATAAAAGTGGTGAGAGTGGACATTCTTGTCTTCTTCCCGATCTTAAGAGGAAAAACTTCCAGCTTTTCACCTCTAAGGATGAAGTTAACTCTGGGTTTGTCATTTATAAAGCATTTATTATGTTATGTTCCCTCTGTACCCACTTTGTTGAGTTTTTCTGAATGTTGAATTTGTCACATGCTTTTTCTGCATCTGTTGAGGTGATCATATGATTTTTATCTTTCACTTTATAATATGTGTTATGTTGATTGATTTGCAGATACTGAACCATCCTTGCATCTCTGGAACAAATCCCACTTGATCATGGAGAATGATCCTTTTAATGTATTGTTAAATTTGGTTTGGAAATATTTTGTTGAGGACTTGTGTTCATCAGGGATATTGGTCTGTAATTTTCTTGTTTAGTTAGTGTCTTTGTTTTTCATATCAGGGTAATACTGGCATCATAGAATGAATTTGGAAGTTTTCCTTTCTCTTGGAATGATTTGAGAAGGGTAGGTATTAACTCTTCTTTAAATGTTTGGTAGAATTCACCTGTGAAGCCATCTGGTCCTGGACTTTTGTTTATTGGGAGTTTTTTGATTACTGATGCAATTTCATTGCTGGTAATTGGTTTGTTCAGATTCTTCCCGATTCAGTTTTGGGAGATGGTAGGTTTCTAGAAATTTACCCATTTCTTCTAGTTTGTCCAATTTTTTTTGCATAATTTATGTAGTCTTTTTTAATCCTTTGCATTTTTATAGTGTCGGTTGTAATTTCTTTTGCATTTCTTTTTTTTTAAGATTTTATTTATTTATTTGACAGAGAGAGACATAGCGAGAGAGGGAACACAAGCAGGGGGAGTGGGAGAGGGAGAAGCACACTCCCTACTGAGCAAGGAGCTTGTTGCGGGACTCAATCCCAGGACCCTGGGATCATGACCTGAACCAAAGGCAGACACTTAACTGGCTGAGCCACCAAGGCTTCCCACTCTTGCGTTTCTGAATTTGATTCTTTGTCTTGATGCATCTGGCTAAAGTTTTAACAATTTTATGTCTCTATTTCATTTATTTCCACTCTGATCTTTGTTTTTTTCTAGCTCCTTTAGGTATAAAGTTAGATTGAGATTTTTCTTCTTTCTTGAGGTGGGTCTGTATCACTATAAACTTCCCTCTCAGAATTGCCTTTGCTGCATCCAGGAGATTTTGAGCCATTGTCTCTATTTTCTTTCATCTTCATGTATTTTTTCCTTTCCTCTATGACTTCTTTGCTGACCTGCTGGTTGTTTAGTAGCATGTTTTTTTTGGCCTCCACACGTTTGTGTTTTTCCAGTTTTTGTTTGTGTGTTTGTTTTGTAATTGATTTCGTTTCACTGTTGTAGTCAAAAAAAGATGTTTGATTTCAGTCATTTTTTTTTTTAAATTTCAGTCTTCTTAAATTTATTGAGACTTGTTTTGTGGCCTAACATGTGATCTATTCTGGAGAATGTTTCATGTGCACTTGAATGTATCGTCTCTTGTTTTGGGATGGGATATTTTGTGTGTGTATATCTGTTAATCCCGTCTATTGTAATTTGTCAGTCAAAGCTACTGTTTCCTTATTTTCTTTTGGATGATCTATCCATTGATATAAGTAGGGTGTTAAAGTCCCCTACTATTGTATTACTGTTAATTTCTCCCTTTATGTCTGTTAATGCTTGCCTTATATATTTAGGTGCTCCTCTGTTGGATGCATATTTACAATTGTGATAACCTCTTTTGAATCAATCCCTTTATTATTATGTAATGGCTTTCTCTGTCTCTTGTTACAGTGTTTTAAAGTCTATTTTGTTGTTATAAGTGTTGCTGCCCCATCTTTTGTTTTGCTTTCATTTGCATGGAATATCTTTTTCCATTCCTTCATTTTCAGCCTGTGTCTTTACCTCTGAAGTGAGTTCTTTGGAGGCAGCATGTAGTTGGGTCTTGTTTTGTTATCCATTGCATCACCCTGTGTTTCTTGATTAAAGGTAAATAAATGTAATGCTCCAGAGTAATTATTGATAGGTACATACTGGAATTTGAAAAATTGTTTTCTGTTTGTTTTTGTAGTTATTCTCCATTCCTTTCTTCTTCTTTTGGTCCCTTCCCTTGTGATTTGAGGACTTTCTTTAGTGTTATGCTTGAATTTCTTTCTCTTTATTTTTCGTGTATGTATCATAGGTTTTTGGTTGTAGTAACCTTGAGTTTCATATAACTTCCTAAGTGTATAGCAGCCTGTACCAAGTTGATGGTCCCTTAACCTTGAACACATTCTAAAATACTACATTTGTACTCCTCGTCTCCACATTTTATACATAGGCTGTCACATTTTATATCTTTTTATTTTGTGTATCCCTTAACTACTTTTTGTAGATATTATTTTACTACCTTTGTCTTTTAACTGTCATACTAGCTTTATAAGTGGTTGATTTACCACCTTCACTCTGTTTTTACATTTGAAATATTTTTTTGCATAATTTTCTTCTAGTCTTGGCCTTTTCTTTTCTGCTGAAGAAGTCCCTTTAACAAGAAAGATAATTTAAATCACCTTCCTTAGTCTTCTACATGCGGTAGAACCGCGGCTCCTTGTACTCCAACCTGCGGACTATGTGCAGACCTGGAGAGTAGGCAGTGGGGAAAGAAAGTACAGCCTTGATCCCTTCAATGCCAAGCAGAACAGCACAAGTGTGGGAACACTGCTTGGCAGGCTTCCCTTTGGGAGTGTGACAGGAGGTCTCATTTTCCTAATGATCCCTTGTGAAACAGGATTCTCTTTTACCCACAACTGGATCTTGCATAAGTTGTATGCAATATTTCCCTTAAATCTTTAAGCAGTGAACATTTGCAGGCCCTACTGAGGTCATTTGATTGCAACCCTAAAATTACCCAACAATTTTCACATTCGCAATGCCCGGATGGAGAAGGACCTAAGGGAAAAGTCACGAATCCATCAACTAATTCAACAAACATGCACCGAGCATCAAATAGGTTCCTGTCTGTGCTGGGAACTTGAAAAGGGAGGAACAAGATCTCTGCGCTCTTGGGATTCACAGTAGGCGAGGGAGACAGACCCAGGTAGAGATCATTAAAATCCAGGGTGCTAAATGCTACAGTGGAAGTAAGAGTGGGAGGAGCAGCAAGAGAAGCTCAGTAGGGAGGACGTACTGTCTAAATCCAGAGCAGATTCCTTGCACCAGAGCACAGGTTTTTGTCATTGGCCCTTCTGAGGTGGTCAAGGACCCATCACCCACCCTGAGCATACCCTTAAGTCAGTGCTGCCCACAAGTGAGAGGACTTAAGGCAACTGGGTCTGCCTGCATTCCAGGGCCCTTATAGGAGTAGACCATCCAGTTTGCTCCGCAAAAGCCTGGACCCCAAATCATCGGAGGGCTGCATGTGGATCATGTTATTTTGGTCCCTACATAATTACTTTAAAAACAAATAGATCGTGAAATGAATTTTTGTAAACTTTAAATAGTGCTTCTGAAATTATCTGGGTGGAGGACAAGTGTATCCCACCCCCCACCCATTATAAAGTACAGTTAATTCCTGGAAAAATGATCATGGGCTGGGGTGGCACAACAATGTCACATTTCCATAAAAGTGTCTGAAAATGCTTTTTTAAAAAAGATTGATTGATTGGACACAGAGGGAGAGCATGTGCCTTTGCACAAGCAGGGGGAGAGGGAGAAGCAGGCCCCCTGCTGAGCAGGGAGCCCAAAGCAGGGCTCCATCCCAGGACCCTGAGATCATGACCTGAGCCGAAGGCAGATGCTTAACCGACTGAGCCACCCAGGCGCCCCTAGAAATGCTTGTTCTTCATTTCTGTACTCACCTGCCACAGTTTGCTGATGACATTGGTCTGCAGACAGCACTTGGAGTAGCCCTTCTTCTCAGCATGTGCCTTCAGAGAAACTGTGGGCATTCTATATGTGTAGTCATATTACTGGGGCTCAGTGGGGTGCAGTGGTCCATGCATGTAGCTCCCAGAGGCAAACCTCCTGGGTTCAAAGCCTGGCTCCCTGACTTAATAGCGGTGTGACTTATTCAAATCACTTCACATTCTGATCCTCAGCTTCCGTAGCCATAAAATAGGGACAGTGCATTTACTGGTAGGGTCGTTAAGAGTAAAGAGTAACACCTATACAGGGCAAGCACAGAGTTTACTCAGGGTGGGGGTGGGGGTAGCAGGAGGAGGAATAGTTACTGTGATTTTGATCATTTTAACCTAATGAACACTGTAATAAAGGTAAGTGATCATGTTTCCTTGTCTGTTATCTCTCAGGGCGCCTGAGTGGTTCAGCTGGTTAAGCGTTTGCCTTTTGCTCAGGTCACGATCCCGGGGTCCTGGGATGGAGCCCTGCATCGCATGGGGCTCCCTGCTCAGCAGGGAGCCTTTTTCTCCCTCTCCCTGTGCTCCAACCCTGACTCGTGCTCTCTGTCAAATAAATAAAATCTTAAAAATTTTGTTATCCTCATTGGCCCATGCACAAAATATCACAGCATGCGTTTTATTAACACACCTCAGCCTGGCTTTGGCTCTGCCCTTACCCCCACCCCCCATTTCTCCTTAGCACGTCCTCGCTCACTGCCCAGGCTCGCCCGTTCTGGCTGATGGACATGGACAGGGTTTCCCCAGCATACTTCTGCCAACCTTCGGGCCAGACAAGCAGATAGCACTGCCTTGCTCAAATTGATTTATGGCTGTACCCTGGTCTGGAACTCGGTCTGTATCTTTCTGCTCTTTCTCAACTCCCTTCCACCAGTTGCTATGTAGTCCTTTATAATAACAAGAAATCATTTGAGGGAATTCTTGGAGACCTACCTAGAAGGTAGATTTCGACAGGGATTTTCATTTGCTTATGCCAGGCTTATAAGGGTGCTACCGGTCTGAAAAACACTTTATCAAGTAAGACCATGAGGTATTTTTTATTTTCTGGGGTTTTTTTCTCCTCCAGCACTTAGGTATTTTGTGAGTTTGAGCTGCAAAGCCATTCAAGGGCCACTGTGTGGTTAAAATGTCCCAGGGTGGGGAAAACAACACCAAAGACCTCTCAGGGTATTAACCCATCTTTCTCTTGCAAAAGCAACTTTACTTGCGGTCCTCAGGAAGAGGGGCTTGGGGTTAGGAGAGTTGAGAAGTATAACAGAGGGAAAATTGATTTACCTGTGAATTACCCTTGCCTGGAGGTTACCTGGGGACAGGGCACCTTGGCCTGGTGGGCTGTCCCTTGCGCCCCCTTGTGGCCACGAACGGCTTTCTCCTGTTGAGGTGGGCAGATGCCTTTAAGGCAAATATGATTTCGGTGCTTCCCTTATTTCTCTCATTGAAACGTTTACCTAGGTCGTGATCTGCTGGTTCCTCATTTTGTCAGCTGTTCAGTTAGAGACTTTTAATACAATAAACTCTGTGCTAAGGGCTTAAAATGAATTATTTCACTTACATTTTATACATTTTTATATATTATCAGAAATCTCCATATGATTTTTAAAGCGCCATATGGGAAAATCGTATGAATCCATAGAAGTGATTTAAAGTTCCACAATCTTCCTCTTTAGGGTAATTCACATAATCAGTTCTTTTGTTTTGTTTTTTGTTTAAGTAGGCTCCATGCCCAGCATGGAGCCCAACAAAGGGCTTGAACTCATGACTCTGAGATCAAGACCTGAGCTGAGATCAGGAGTTGAACACTTAACCGACTGAGCCACCCTGGTGCCCTGGAGCAGTTTTAAGAAGCGGAATTATCGATTCTAGCTAGATTCTTGAATACTGTTGCATGTTATTATAGTGTTACAGAGAATCTAGTTCTCTTTTGAAATCCAGCTCCTACTGTCTACACATTTAAGTATAAGGGAGTAAGAAGTTACAAGAACTTAGCAAGTATAAAAGCAGGACATCTTAATCTAGTAATAATGGAAGAATGATTACGATAAAGCCATAGGATGTGCTGAAAGTACCGTCTCCAATGCAGCAGCAACAGTGCGCAGTTTCCTACGTTTCCAATCTATTTTCCGTAACTTTTGGACTTATTTTTAGGTATGACAAATTCTTATGCAGGAGATAATTATAGACCTTCATTTATTCAGGATAATGAGCTCAGACACTTAATCCTTAAGGTAAGTCAAGAGTTATATTTGTCTAAGCTGTGTTTGTCCTTTCAGTTTTACTTGGATGGGAGGCAGATTTTCTTCAGTTTGCTTCTGGCTGCCAGCACCCAGGGCTCCCTCATACACCACAGCTCCCTTCCTACAAAAATAAGTTGCCTAAGTAACCGTGTCTTAGTTTGGGCTGATGGAAGTAGAGACAGAGGATAGGCACTTTCCAAAGTTTGGAGCAAAGCTCGTCTTTAATCCTAAACTTGCACTGCCTACGGGACTCACCTCCTATGCCATGGGGTCTGTTCCCCTCTGTCAGCACCTCCTTCAAAGCCGTCTACCTTGTATCCTTTCTCTCCTGGATCCTGTTCTCTGCACATTAGCCAGTTACTGCTTAATGAGCTATTAGTCGATGCTTTGACATTTCTCTTCTCATCATCTCATATGCATGGGTTTTCAGATTCATTCGTCTAGAGGTTTATTTGACCTGGAAAATATGACCATGTCATTGGCTTATCCTGCCCCCAGGAGGTGATAAATGTCTTGATCTTGTGCTGTGACTCCTGGGCTTTAAACTGCAGCATGATTAAACAGAAAGATTCTTCATATATATACTTGTCTATTTTTCTTTTAAAATTTTTAAAAAGCTCTTTTATCTGAACAGCTGAATTTAAATATAATATTTCTGATAGAAAAGTAAGGATTTTTTTTGAAGATGAAGATATTTAAAGTTAGCAAAATGTACAGTATGCTTTGGAAGCTTTCTCACTAATCTTTAAGTGTTTTTTTTTCAGGCCTAACATAACACGGGTTCTGCCCTTCTAGAATATGTCTGCCTAACTCACCTCATGTTTGTTGCCAGTTAGTAGAAATTAAGGGAATGTCCAATGGGGTGCTAGACTCATCCTGTGTCCATATATATCCATTTCCATATAGGTTGCTTCACAAGGAATATACTGGACAGATTTCAATGGGAGTAACTGATGTTAGAATTTTTTAAGTTTCATTTTAAATGAGCGACATCTTATTATCTAAAAAATATATTGTAGAATGTCTTCTCTTTTCCTTGTTCCCATTCCACACATTCCCTTCATCTAAGCACATCCCTGTGCAGTTGTTAATGCTGTTTTGATATCTTTATAGTTTCTATATGCACTATAGAATTTGGGATGGATCGTTTTTGTATTAGAAAACATCTCAACCAAATATTCCATAGCCAAACTTTCCATGTCAAAAACTAGTTTAGACTGGGGTTTAATTTGATGTTCTTTATCAATCCTTTTATAGCTTAAGAAAATGTCCTGATTTTACTAGCTCTCTGACCACTCTTTGTTTTATTGCTATAGGAATTTTCACAGTATCTGAATGTGTGTAAGAAAGACAGAAGATATTTAAAAATATTCACTTTTATATTTTTAAATCCTAGACTGCAGAAGGCTTCCTATTTGTGGTTGGATGTGAAAGAGGAAAAATTCTCTTCGTTTCTAAGTCAGTCTCCAAAATACTTAATTATGATCAGGTATCCAAAACTGAGGATATTTTCCACGCGATGTTTAACTTTTTTTGAATGAACACATATTTCCGAGTTCTCTTCCTGAACCCTATCCTCACCCTGGGCTGTGGGCGCTTAGGTTCTGCTAGGTTAGAACTCCCAGAGAGATGGAAATATATGGAAACACTATGGGTTTTTATTTTTATTATTTTTTTAAGATTTTATTTATTTGACAGAGAGAGAGACACAGCAAGAGAGGGAACACAAGCAGGGGGAGTGGGAGAGGGAGAAGCAGGCTTCCCGCTGAGCAGAGAGCCCGATGCGGGGCTCGATCCCAGGACCCTGAGATCATGACCTGAGCTGAAGGCGGATGCTTAATGACTGAGCTACCCAAGCACCCCATGGGTTTTTATTTCTGATAAGGGTGTTCACTTCCTGACCTCCAGCAAGCTATTTAATTTTCCTGAGCTGCAACTTTCTCTTATGTAAAAAGGGGAAATGATGATTACACCTGTGTCTTAGGATGTAAAGACAAAATAACTGTCACATTTGAGACTGTCGGAACAATGTTAGTTGTCCTTCTGTTTCCTCCAAAAGACAGCATTATTATTTATTATTAGGTTATATGCATTACATAACAGCTTTTGATCTAAGCTCTGGCAACAAACTCTAAAATTCATCTTTTACTTAACTACCTTTCTAATCCTTTACCTCCTCATTCCTGAGCACCATTTAATTTGAACTAGTTACTCAAAAGCTCTAGCACTAACACTAATCCAATAGAGTGAAGAAACTATCACCTGTGGTCACCTTTAAGATATACATCAGATAGACCACAGCGTTACTCTTAAATAACCCCCAATAATTTCACCTATATTCTCCCCAAACATGAAAATTTGGGAGATATAAGATTCACAGATAATGAGTTAAATAACAGAATAAGAGGTATTATGAGCCTACATCCAGGAAATAGAGAACATCACACACACACACACACACACACACACACACACACACACACAGATAACTTAAAATTCAGAATAACATTTAAGTTCCAAATTAGTGACATGGAATCTTGTCCCACTGGGCACTTACCTAGCATTTCAGACCATTCAAGAGATATAATTACTACTCAGGAGGCCTTTGGAATCCCCATGATGTAGGGTCTGGTCCTTAGCTTTTCAGATTCAGAAACCTGATTTGCTTTGAAACATAGAGTTCACACAGTAGATTGGTTTATAAAATGCTATTTTTTTAAGATATGAGATATCTAGCTTCCAAGCTATCTTGGGTACTTGGTCATATGTCCAGCTGGTCCATGTGTTCTGTCTAATATAAGACTGTCTACTTAGGTAATAAAGGATTTCACAAGGGCGGGGTGATCACTGTGGGTCAGGGAAGGCTTCATATACAAAGTAGAATGTCTGCTTAGGTGTTAAGATGAGTAGAGAAGGGGAGGAAGACACTTGAAGTTGAGGGAGTCGGGGAGTAAAAGCCAATTGGTTAGAATGGTGAGGGAACTATGAGTCTGTAGAGAAGAGGTCATGAATTCTAGGTGATGAGACCGTACAAGCAAAGGCATAGACGTGGGAATGCTGTACATACTGGGATAAGTGGAATGGGAAGTGGAAGGTGTTCTAGGGTGGATTTTGTTTTTTAATAGTACAGTGATTTTTTTTTTGAATCTGAGTCACACCCTAAAATCACAGATACTTTGTGGCTTCCATATTGCAATCTCTTTACTTTTACCAAGGATAAGAAGAATTTAAGTCATAATGTGATTTAGAAGCAACAAATGAATTGGGGGATGTTAACAAGAGTTCACTGAATATTAGTGATTAGGTATTTGTGATTTGTGTGTTTCCATATATGGTTTTGTGTGCATGTATTTCTATCTACAAGTATTACCCTGCTTCTAACACTAAGTTAATGTCACACAGTGTGGTAGATGTATCTCTGAGCCTAAGAAAAAGCAGTTTTAACAGTATTTACCATTATGTTTGTGTGAAGAAATGTAGAAAAATTATGGTACTGATTTTAAATGAACATCTACCTTATAAATAGGCTAGCTTGACTGGACAAAGCTTATTTGACTTCTTACATCCAAAAGATGTTGCCAAAGTAAAGGAGCAACTTTCTTCTTCCGATATTTCACCGAGAGAGAAGCTGATCGATGCCAAAAGTAAGTGGTCATTTCAGCATGCCCATACTTTTATGTAAATATAATTATTACTTAAAAGCACAGCTGTACAATATTTTGAAAAATTAGCTAATTATGGTTTTATCATGAGGAGATTTAATAAACTTTACAATCATTAACCTCAGAGTTCAAAAAAACAATATAAATAGAGAATTCTTATACTCATATACACATACAAAACAAATATATTCATATGAAGATGCTTTGTTCGGGGGAGTATGTGATTGCTTCATATTTGCTGTTTTTCATATGCTAATAAAGTCTTTACAAGAAAGTATCATTTGGGATTTAAAAAGTTGCTGGGGTTTCTATTATTCAGCTATATGCTGAGACGGTTCTCTTTCTTATATGAGTTAGGTCTAGTCAGTATGAAAGACCTTGTATAATTGTGCTTTGGAAGTGTAAATATTCTTTATCTTCTCCTGAAAATACCTCTCTGAAAATGCTTAGTATCAAACAATTATTTATAATATAAAGTAATGATGCTTTATGCCATTGATTACTACTGTAAGTTGAGGACTTTTTCATTTAAAAAAATTTTTTAATTTCATTTCACTTAGATTACCTTTGTTTCCACCCCTAGGGAAAAAATGAAAATAAATTGCAAGTGTTTATAAATTATAAAAATATGATTGCTCAGTAAATGCTCTTTTTGGTATGTTTCACTTTATGATGTGAAATATATATTTGTGATGTGAAGCAATGATGTCATTGCTTTAAGTAACCATTTTTCTTTTTCAATTTATAAAAAAAAAAAGGAATAATTTTGAAATGTGTCTCCTGACATTTCTTACCATCTATATGAAAATATTCTTTTCCACCTGTTCTCTTGCCTCCTCCTGCTATGAAAGCTGGTTTGCAAGTTCACAGGAATTTCCACAGTGGAAGGACTCATGTATATTCTGGCTCAAGGCGATCCTTTTTTTGTCGGATAAAGAGTTGTAAAATCTCTGTCAAAGAAGAGCATGAATGCTTATCCACCTCAAAGAAGAAAGGTATCATCATTTTAAAATATCAAGTGATTTAAGCATGGATATAAAATTAATGTCCTAAGAGCTTTCCATACAGAAGTAATAAAGTGTGTGGTCAAGGCAAATAGTTGAGGCCAAAAGCACCTAAGGAAATATGATTGTTTTTTAACCAAAATTATTTAGATTGACTCGTCATAGCTTTCAAATTTATCAGGTAATTGCAGGCCTTTTACTGCCCAAGATTTTAATGGTGTTGTTGAAATTGCAGTTTGGGGGCATTCGAATGGGAAAATGGAAGAAATTGGAATTTCATAACAAAAGTTATATTTCATTGTTTCATAATATGACAGGTCTTTTAAAAAAAAACTCCCGATAGTACAAGAGCCTGACTTGATTAATTTTGGTGAAAGTTTTAATTTTTTTTAAATTTTATTATGTTAGTCACCATACAAAACATCATTAGTTTTTGATGTGGTGATACACGGGGTGAAAGTTTCTTAAGACATTCCAGGTGTAGTTTCAATGCTTTTGGTTCTTTGGTAAATGTTTCTAGTTCTGTTTTCTTTTATAGATTTGTCTTATTTACATTTCTAATTAACACTCATCTATTTTACTTGATGAGAAATTCTGGGGACTGAAAAATGTCTCACACATTTTTTGCCTAAGAATATATTAACCTATTAGATACAGGATTTCCTATGCAAATAGGAAATTTTTGAGATTTGCTTTCCCATCCTTTAAGAGGATATTTATACTGAGCTGCAAGATTCAATTTATTTACAAGTTTTGGTCAAATCTTTTTTGGCAACCACTTAAGATGATAATCACTCAATACTCATTAAGCCTGTACCTGTGCCAGATCAGAAACTGTACTAAGTGTTTTAATCTCCATGAAAACACTATGCTTACCACTGACTTAAATTGGTAAAACTCACACTCAAACCTAAACCCCCTACTCTTCCGTTACACTATGAAGAAACAGAATGAACCAGCAGTCGTAAGAGAGGATCTATTTGTAAACCATCAGTTGCTGCCCTTGTGCCCTTGGCTCTGAGTGGGCAAGGGTTGTCTAAAGTCACTTGTAAGGCCTCCTGGGCTGGAAGTCATAGTTGACCTGGTGATTAAGAGGCTGTGGAATCCAGCTGACTGGGATCAAATTTTGGTTCTATCACTTGCTAGCTCTGTGACTGTGAACAAGTTTCTTAATCCCTCTGAGCCTCAGTTTCCTTATCTGTAAAACAAGATTATCCACAGCCTTGTATGGCTTTGTGGGGTAGGTAAATGCATCAATTCTGGAGCCAAACTGCTCAGGTTTGAATCCTAACTTGTGAGTAACTGTGTGACTCAAAATAAATTACTGAATCCTTCTGGGTCTCACTCTTTTTAACTGTAGAAAGAAAATAATAGACTCTCCCTCCTAGGGTGGTTATTAGGATTAAAGGAGTTAATACATGTGATGTGCTTACCCTGGTTCCTAGCATAGTAACACTAGGTAAATGTTAGGAGCTGTTATGAATATTATTAGAAATAATGCATCTAAACTCTTAGGACAGTGCAAGGAGATGGTGTTGTCCTTACCTCAGGGCGCCTGTTTCCTCTGCCTTCCTTCCCAAGTCAGTCATGTTAGTCTCATATTAATCTTATATTTGACATGGCTAATAATGTGGAACTAGTCTCCAAGGGCAGGAATATTCCTTCTGTGTGGATGGTGTAAGGAGTCATACTCCATGCAGACCCTGGACTGTAGTCCAGGATTTAACTAGATTTAAGTAGAGGTAAATCAATACCATACTGAGTAGATCCAACCATAAGTGAATCACCTAATCTATACAGCAATCCATGAGAGAGAAAAACATGGCAGCCAATGCAACTATCTTAATGTGGCTCAAATCTCTGTGGTGTTTTATACAAGTTATAAGTTGAGTAAAGTCTTAAACTATCAGGTTTTGTAAGTGTTTTAAAGATTACCAAATAGGGAGTAATAGTTCTGGTCCAAGATGGTGACATAGGAAGACCCTGAACTCACCTCCTTCACAGATACCAAACCTACACCGATTTATAGAGCAATTTCTCCTGAAAAAGATCTGAGGGCTGACTGAACAGCTTCCATACAATAAAAGACCACATACAGAATGGCACAGTAACAAAGGAAAACCCTAACACTGAGAACTGTAGTGGGAAGGGATAGTACTGAGGGACTGTGAGCAGATCTCTCTGCACTGGGGCACACAAAAAACCCACAGTCTAAAAAGGCAAATAGAATATACAGGAACCAGTCCTACAATGCTGCCAAAGGGCTGGGAGCTACTGGAACTCTCTCCAGGTCAGAGGGGCTGGTGAGAACCATAGTTTACATTCCCCCTCCACCTTGACCATATGAATGACAGCAAGGTCTGGGTGCCCGAGCTAGCCTTCTCTGTCAGTCAGTGAGTCCCAGAGCCCTAACCCACACCAGCCCTAAGGTTGCCCCACAATAGTGCCCGACAGGACATCCCTGGTCAGCACTCACTACAGCTCCACTGCCTTACCAAGGTGACACAAGTGCAAAGCATGCTGGAACACCCGAGGCCCAAGTCACTTCAGCTCCAGATGGCTTGCAAGGGCATCCCTAGTGCATACTGCTCTGGAAACCCCCTCCCCCCCACCTTATGCCTACTACAGCTCCAGCCAACCCACCAGGGTGCCCCTTGTGCAGAGTACCCTCAGAACACCTGGCCCATACCCATCTCAGCTCCATTTGCCCTCCCAGAGCAACTTCTAGGCTGAATACCCCCATACCCTGGCTTGTACCCCTTTAGCTATCCTGCCAGAGCACCCTCTGTGCAGAGCGCCCAGAGACCACCCCAGCCCATGCCTATACTTCAGTTTTGGCTATTCTGCCAGGGTGCCCACTGTGTAGAGAGCCTCAGGACCCACTAGCCTGCACCCACTTCAGCTGTCCTGCTAGGGCACTCTCTGTACAGATAGTCCTAAGACCACCTCAACTCCACTTCAGCTCTAGCCACCCTTCCAGGGCAGTTCCAGAATGGAGCGCCCTAGGGCCCCCACTGGTATCAGCTACAGTTCCAACCAGCCAAAGTCACCAGATACAGAATCTACACAGGGAAGAACCATACACAAGATGATTCCTTCAAATTTGGGAGAAATAGCTCTTCTCCTAATTCATAGAAACAACACAAAGTCAGGGAGACAGAGGGGTATGCTCCAAATGAAACAACAAGACAAAACCTGAGAAAAAGAACTAAGCAATATGCCTGATAAAGAGTTTAGAGTCATGATCATAAAGATGTTCACCAGACTGGAGAAAAGGGTGGAAGAACTCAGAACTTCAACAAAAAGATAGAAAATATAAAAGACAACTAATCAGAGTTGAAGAATATAATAAATGAAATGAAAAATATACTGGGGGAATCAATAGATTAATGGCTGCAGAAGAATGGATCAGTAATCTGGAAGGCTAATGGAAAACACCCAAGCTGAACAGCAAAAAAAAAAGGAATTTTTTTTTTAAGATTTTATTTATTTGACAGAGAGAGAGAGAGACAGCGAGAGAGGGAACATAAGTAAGGGGAGTGGGAGAGGGAGAAGCAGGCTTCCTGCTGAGCAGGGAGCTTGATGCCGGGCTTGATCCCAGGACTCTGGGATCATGACCTGAGCCGAATGCAGATGCTTAACGACTGAGCCACCCAGGCACTCCGAAAAAAAAGGAATTTTAGAAAAAGTGAGGATAGGTAAGGGATCTCTTCAACAACGTCAAGCAAACAAACATTCACATTATAGGAGTCCCAGAAGGAGGAGAAAGGAGCAGAACACTTATTTGAAGAAATAAGAGCTGAACAAGTCTCTATCTCAGGGAAGGAAACAGATATCTGACACAGGCACAGAGAGCGCCAAAGAAGATGAACCCAAGAAGTTCTGCACCAAGACACATCACAATTAAAATGTCAAAGATTAAAGAAAGCTAAAGAGAGAATTTTAAAAGCAGCAAGAGAGAAGCAATAAGTACCATACGAGGGAAACCCCATAAGGCTATCAGCTGATTTTTCAGCAGAAACTTTGCAGGCCAGAAGGAAGTGGTATGATATATTCAAAGTGCTGAAAGGGAAAAAAACCTACAACCAAGAATACTCTACCTGGCAAGATTATCACTAAGAGTTAAAAAAGAGATAAAGAGTTCCCAGGCAAACAAAAGTTAGAGGAGTTCATCACTAAGCTGGCATTACAAGAAAAGTTAAAGGGACTTCCTGAAGTGGAAAAGAAAAGACCATACTTAGAAGAAAATTTGAATAACAGGATGTAAAATATGACAACATATAAATTAAACATGGGGGAGGGGAGCAAAAAATCTTTCAGAGTGTGTTCAAACTTAAGTGACCATCAACTTAATATAGACTGCTCTATACTTAGGATGTTATATATGAACCTCATGGTGACCACAAACCAAACACCTATAATATATACACAAAAATAGAAAGAAAGCCAAGCATAACACTAAAGAAAGTCAACAATCATAAGGGAAGAGACCAAGAGAAGAAGAAAGGAACAGAGAAGAACTACAACAACAACCAGAAAACAATAAAATGGCAATGAGTACATAAATATCAATAATTACTTTAAAAGTAAAGGGTCTAAATGTTCCAGTTGAGAACACAGGGTGATTCAATGGATTAAAAAAAACAACACCCATCTTATATGCTCCCTACAAAAGGCTCACTTCAGGCCTAAAGTCCCATACAGACTGAAAGTGAAAGCTTGAAAAAAGATATTCTATGCAAATGGAAGCAAAAAAAAAAAAACTGGGATAGCAATACTTATATCAAACAAAATAGACTTTAACATAAAGACCATAACAAGTGACAAAAGGGGCAATGCATAATGATAAAAGGATTAATCCACCAAGAGGAGAGAATTGTAAATATTCATGCATCCAACATAGGAGTACCTAAATACATAAAACAAATATTAACAGACATAAAGGGAGAAATGGAGGGTAATACAATAATAGTTGGGACTTTAATACCCCA